AAGCTCGTGGAAAAACTTCTGCATCAGCATCGAGAATGTCCCGGAAACAGCTAGACTCCTGAAGCTGCTTTCAAAGCAACAGAGTCAGAGTCAGCTAAAACGCGAGGATGGACAGTGGACTGAGGGCAGTGAAGAGGCCCTAACAGCACTTATGCAATCGCACTTTCCAGGATGCACGGATGTCTTAGACGCCAGCACGCACCAAGACATAGCAACTGGCGAAGAGCGCTCCAAACGATCTAATAACAACTACGAAAATCAACTGGGCCATAGACTCCTTTGCGGGCTACAAGGCACCAGGACTAGATGGAATATTTCTAGCCATGTTACATGCGACCAAGGAAAGGATCACCCCATGGCTATATGAAATATACTCTGCATGTCTAAGCACGGGCTATATCCCAATCCAATGTAGGACCTCTCGGATTGTCTTCCTCCCAAAAGCGGGAAGGTGCAGTCACGCGAGCTCAAGGATTAAGGAGCCCCCATTAAGGAATATGCGCTTGGAGTATTCGTAGATATATCTGGAGCATTTAACAATGTCAAGACGGATGCTATAATGGATCGCCTAAAAGCAACCAACACGCACCACGCAATAAGCCTATGGATAAGAAACCTGCTTAGCTGCAGGCGGGTACATTCAGAGTGCGGCACTGCTTCCATAGTAAAGGGGGCACACAGAGGCACACCACAAGGTGGGGTCCTCTCGCCTCTTCTATGGAATTTGGTGGTGGACGATCTAATTAAGAGATTCGAGAGGGGAGCCCCAAAAATAACAGCTTATGCGGACATCATAGGAATAATTATTACGGGAGTTTGTCCATCGACCCTTAGCTTCATAATGGAATCAACACTCATCTCCCTGAGTGAGTGGGCGGAAAAGGTGGGACTCAGTATCAATGCGGACAGGACGGACCTCATTCTCTTTACTAAGAGATACAAGGTACCGAAATGGACCCCTCGAAAATCGGCCTGTCACCTACTCTGATGCACTGGATCTACATCTCGGTGGTGCGTCCGACTCTGCTGGAGCCTTAATGTGATGGCAAGCCACTGAAAATACGACGTAAACCGAGCTTATGGAGAGAATTCAGCGGCAGGCATTGGTCTGCATAACGGGGGCGCTGAAGTCAACCCCAACTAAAGCTCTAGAAACGATCCTCGGAGTCGACCCCTTAGACAACCACGCACAACTGACTGCTGGGAAGGCAGCACAACGTCTAGTTGCATCAGGTAACATGACGGCGCAAAGCTTCGGACATAGTTCAATCGGCCGGAGCATGATCAACAAAACGGACTATATGACCCCTAGAACGTGCCCGGAGGTTAAAACAACCTCGTTCATGGGCCCAGGTGACTGGAAAACGGTTCGGGACCAGACTCAACACCTCAATATATACACGGACGGCTCCAAGATGGAAGGAGGAGTAGGAGCGGCTGTCTTTTAAGCTACCCAATATTCCAGCTGACGAACGACAGAACGGAGAACGTGCCTGTTTCCCTCCGAACGCTCCAAAGCGCCCTGGAAATACCAAGACTTGTCGAATCTCAAGAACTATGTGCAAAGAGCGCAACGACAAACTCAGCCAGTATGTACGGCGTCTACCACGGAAAGACTGCAGACTGCAGTGGAAATCCTTACGGGCCACTGTCTGGCCGCATCACACGCAACCACACTCGGAATACTCAACAGCCGCACCTGCTGGAAATGTGATGAATCGGGGGCCATTGAAACCCTGGAACATCTTATCTGCAACCCGGCTCTCTCAAGAGCGAGAAGAAGATACCTCGGTGCCCCAGTACTGGCATCACTAGGAGACGCCTCCAGCAGGGAACCAGGAGAACTACTTGTCGTCGCCAAAAACACCTCGATCCTTATGGAAATAAAAACATCTTAACTTATCTCAAGGTTCATACGCATCAAACGGACAACTAAGGGCCATACTGGTCTATGCGTGGCCCCGTGAGGGCCGTCCGGGTTAACCTAAGCTACGAGAAGATGTGTCCCAACTTTTATAAAAAGATGGATACACTGACGACAGCTGTGACTCGAATTCGGAGTCGGACTAGCTAGTAAATTTTAAAAAAAAATCTTAAAAATATAAAACAACGTTTTTTGTTTTTATTATCAATTATCTTTAATATAAAACCTTATTTGCAGCTGTTCAGCTTATAACATCGAAGTTACAGCTAAAAACATGAGCATATAAAAAAACAAGTGAGAACGCTATAGTCGGGTGCCCCGACTATCAGATACCCGTTACTCAGCTAAAGGGAGTGCGAAGGAGACGGAGATAAAAACTTTGATCCGCCGTAACTTTTTAACGAATGGTCCGATTTAAAAAATTTCTTCTACATTTCGATAGGTATTGATAAACACAATAAAACTGCATTTTTACTTTTCCGTTTCTCGTCCCGATAGCTTTGAAACTTAGAGACTAGTTTGCGTAGAAACGGTAGGCAGACGGACATGGCTAGATCGACTCGTCTAGTGATGCTGATCAAGAATATACAGTGAGTCACATTAATATTCGGTTCGTACATCCTTTTTTTAGGTTGGAAAAACTAGCCCAGAATAGGCAAAAAAAAATTTAAAGTATGCCAAAATATTTAAACGATACCATAGACAATAATGGCTAGCATTTCAAATGTCAAATTTAGTTTATTTCGTAAATAATTTTTTTGATTTTTAGTACAAAAAGGGAAAACCGAATATTAATGTGGCCCCAATATTCGGCTTTTCTTTCGTTTATGCATAAAATAAGCTTTATTTCTGCATTATTTGATTTTTTGTTTTATTAGTTTCAAACTTTTTATTCACGTTTGAAGTTGACAAAAAAAAAAAACCGAATATTAATGTGACTCACTGTATATACTTTATGGGAAACGTCTCCTTCACTGCGTTGAAATCATTATACCCTCTGCAAGGGTATAAAAAAAGATAAATTGGGATAATCCGAAACAACCAAAATCAACCAGAAAGGAAACTAACTTCGGCCAGCCGAAGTTTGTATACCCTTGGTTTTTTTTTTATTGACAAAAAACAAAACGCTTACTTCCTACAAAGTTACAATGTTTTTCTGTTATTTTTTTGATTATTCCTATGGGAGCATAAGATATAATGAGAGACTAATTCGCACAGAAACGGAAAGACCGATAGACTGACAGACGGACATGACTAGATGGACTCGGCTATTAATGCTGATCAAGAATATATATGTATACTTTATGTTGTCGAGAACGCCTCCTTCACTGCATTGAAAACTTTTGACAGAAATTATTGTGACCCATCGTCACAACAACTAAATACGCATCCCTAGAATCATGACCCGATAAGTATTTATTGAAAACTGGATTATCGTCATCGTTCGCTCTGGGCACACTAAATGGCGGCTATATACGCAGAGGCAGAGGTTCCGAGGATCATCCAGGAAACATCAACAAGGAGGAAGATTCGGGTAGGGGTGGTAGATCCGTAAGACTTCTGTTTTAAATCAGCTCTGCGACCTGGTAGGGATCACTGGCGTCTCGGTGAGGTTTCTTGGAAATCATTCCAGATCCAGTCGTGATCACTGGGGCGGCCCGGGTTACGGATTTAAGGCCCACCTCAGTGAGCTCCCTTTACGGCTTCCGACCCGGAGACGAAACGGATTTAGAACGGCAGTTCGAAACTAACGATTCCCGGCAGACCGTAAGGGTATAATAAAAATATTTTTTAAGTCAAATTGATATAGAAAAAAAATTTATTCGATAAGGAAAACCTCCTTTTTTGAAGAATCCTCGAATGATGCAACATTTTAAAGCGATTATATATAACGGTAAGCTTGTGCTTATGCTTACCCTTATGGGTAAATAAAGTATTATTTTACGAAAGTAATCCTCCTCCAGGTGTCTACAATGTCGCATTTGAAGCTCAAAACGTCGATTTAGGCGCACTCCGCGGATGAACTCCCCTTTCTCCTTCTAATTCTCCTTTTGCTCCTTGGTTGTCCTGCCCTTGAACATTTTAATACGTCGCTGGCGTCGCTCAGCGAACTTGTTATTTTGCAATTCTGCCGGTCTGCTGGAAAACGTGGCGTTGAATATCTTCACCGTGGAGGTGGACAGATCGAAGGCTGGCTTCGGGGATACATTCAATGCGGGAGCAGTGGTCTTCAAGGGCAATCTGGATGAGTTGAGCTTGTCGGAGGGATGCTCAATGACCATCGTTCGATCGGCGGTCAAGTTGTTTTACACAAAATTGTATCAGCACCTAGGCCATTTGCACACAAAATTGTATCAGCACCTAGGCCATTTGCACACAAAATTGTATCAGCACCTAGGACATTTGCACACAAAATTGTATCAGCACCTAGGACATTTGTACAAAAAAATAAAAAAAAAATATTTAAAAATGTTTAATAAATTACATAATACAACAAAATAATAAATAAACAAATTATAAAATTATTGTTTATTAAATGGACTTTTTACTTTTTTTACACAAAATTGTATCAGCACCTAGGCCATTTGCACACAAAATTGTATCAGCACCTAGGCCATTTGCACACAAAATTGTATCAGCACCTAGGACATTTGCACACAAAATTGTATCAGCACCTAGGACATTTGTACAAAAAAATAAAAAAAAATATTTAAAAATGTTTAATAAATTACATAATACAACAAAATAATAAATAAACAAATTATAAAATTATTGTTTATTAAATGGACTTTTTACTTTTTTTACACAAAATTGTATCAGCACCTAGGCCATTTGCACACAAAATTGTATCAGCACCTAGGCCATTTGCACACAAAATTGTATCAGCACCTAGGACATTTGCACACAAAATTGTATCAGCACCTAGGACATTTGTACAAAAAAATAAAAAAAAAATATTTAAAAATGTTTTATAAATTACATAATACAACAAAATAATAAATAAACAAATTATAAAATTATTGTTTATTAAATGGACTTTTTACTTTTTTTACACAAAATTGTATCAAAATTCTTCAGCGCCTTTGGACGTTCACGCTGCTCCACAGAAGTGGAACTCTGCGCAGCTTTCACAACTTGGTGCGTTTATTCACCTTGCTGGGTGTGATGGTTTTGTTCAGAGGTATAACTTCCAAAAAGATAATCAACTTCTGTTAATTAGAATTGTTATAAGATTGATTTAAGACTTACGCCAACTCGGCTTGGGAATCCGACTCTCTTTGCAGCGGTTTGCATCTAAGGACTTTGATCGCCTACGACGATGATTAAGATCTGAAAACGCAAAGTAGGAAAGGGATCATGGAAAACTTTTTAAAAACTCACTGTTATTTTGAAGTCCCTTCCAGCGCCTATCAATGTCCTCTCAAGTGGAAATATCAATGGGACTTTGAAAGTTTACGGTTCGCGACATGGTATTATTCCAATCGCTGGCCGAATGTCCTCATTATTATTGTGGTTTTTCTCAAAGACTTGAATCCTGTGGAGCAGTTGATCTGGATGCTTCACCTGGTATATCTTCCTCATCTTGGTCCTGGATATCCATTTTCAGGAAAAACAAGCCCATTTCATCTATATCTGCTTCGGAAACCGCATATTTGGTTGAATTTGTCTCCTTTTCTTTGACTGCTTCTGTGTCTTTTGGAACCTTTGTAGTTTCCTCCTGATTCCTCCTTTTGATCCTGAGTCTCCCCCAGCTTGTGGCTGCGCTTGGGGGAATTTTTGCCCTCCTTCTTCGTCCTCGGGATCAACGGCTGGAGCTGCGGCTATAACCATCTATGCGGTTCTGACAATAATATCATTGTAGTCGATCGCAGAACGCACACTTTTCTTGCAACTGCATCGCGAGGTTTCGTTTGTGGTTGGGCAAAGATTGTCAGGAGTTCCGGGAATCTTCGGAGGATCCGGCTGTGTGGGCGAATCCTTTTCCGAAGTGGCATTCATTCGCTTGAGAGCCGCACAGCTCGTTTTCTTGGCCACCGGAGTGCCCACAGCGACTGCAATTTTCCCAATCCGATTGGCGTCTTCGTTTTCCTGGTCGTTTGGCGCCAAGACGCCAACATCGATGGCGTCATTATCTGTTATTAAGGGTAAGCAATGTAGTTGCCAGCAAAATTGTGAACTTCACTTTATATTTACCAATATTCGACTCCATATTTGGGTTTCCTTTAAGCCTAGTACTCACTATAATCAAAAAGGCAACGAAACGAAATATTCTATACCAGGGACCGTAAATAATCATTATTTGAGATTTTTATTTTAAAAGGCCTACTGAGATTTGAACAAGTTTTAGTCAACAATTTAACTGGTTTTTTTGCACTTTATAGACATGAACAAGGAACAGTTAATTTGCTTTCCAGAATTTTTGACATGCATATACTTTGTGCACAAGAGTAAAAAGAACGTTATTTTTGACGTTTAAAACAAAAAATCACAGTTGTCTTTTTAAAATAAAAATCTCAAATAATGATTATTTACGGTCCCTGTTCTATACAAAAATGACAGGCGAAAAATTTCGTGATCAAAATTTCGTATGTAGATTTTCATTTCGTAGGCTTTTTGATTGAAGTGAATGGACGCAAAATAAAATGCTAGTGAAATTCAACCTATGTGTTTTATTAGAAGCTGCTAGTATATACCCTTTTACTCTACGAATAATGGGTATAAAAATCCTGCAAAATGCGAAAATAGCGCACATTTGCTATTTCGAAAGTTGTTCTGCTAACTTGATGCATACTTTATGTTTTGAATTCGTTACGAATTCCCAAGTTGAACAGCAGGGATTCTTAGCACAAGGACCTCAAAGTTCGAAACATGCTGAAAGTGGCCAACTTTCCAGGAGGGCTCAGAGGCAAACGGATTCTTGGTTTGTTTTGATGCTAAAGTTTTTTAAAAGATATACTCTTTTTTTTTTTAATGAGAAATAAATCTAAAAAACAGAGTCAAAAAAATTAAAAGCATAAATCTGCGGTCAAAATAGTAGTAGTGTTGCCGCCCTGTGTTTTTAAAATTTTGTTGTTGTAATTCAATTAGTCTTATTCAATTAGTCTTATTCAATTAGTCTAATAGCACATAATCAATAGAATATTACCAGGAGAAGATAAATTAGAACAACAAACTCCTATAAACACAAGCCGGCAACACTACTACTATTTTGACCACAGCTGTATATTTTTTATGTTTTTTGACAATGTTTTCTTAAATTGGTTTCTCCCTTTAAAAAAATCCGAAAATTATTCAATGTATGGGATTTACAGGAAAAAGAGTGTATATTTTAAAAAACTAACATCAAAACAAACCAAATCCGTTTGCCTCTGAGACCTGGGGCAGTTTTCACTATTAAATAGTTAATTATACCCGTTACTCGTAGAGTAAAAGGGTATACTAGATTCGTGCAAAAGTATGTAACAGCTAGAAGGAAGCGTTTCCGACCCCATAAAGTATATATATTCTTGATCAGGGTCACTAGCCGAGTCGATCTAGCCATGTCCGTCTGTCCGTCTGTCCGTCTGTCCGTCTGTCCGTCTGTCCGTCTGTCCGTCTGTATGAACGCTGAGATCTCAGAAACTACAAAAGCTAGAAGGTTGAGATTTCCCACACATATTCTTTGGCTTCCTACGCAGCGCAAGTTTATTTTAGCCGAGCGCCACGCCCCCTCTAACGCCCACAATCGCCCACTAACGATTTTAAAATGGGTCCTGCGCCCACATCTTTAAAGATTTCCGAGAAGTATAAATGCAATTTTGTTGTGTATATTTATATCTATCGAAATGTAGAAGACATTTTTCAAATCGGACCATTCATTAAAAAGTTATACGATTTATAAATTGTCAACATATATCTATCTCCCTCGCACTCCCTTTAGCTCAGTTACGATTATTAGTCAGGACACCAACCCGACACAGCGTTCGCACTCCCTTTAGCGGAGTGACGGGTATTAGATAGTCGGGACACCAACCCGACTATAGCGTTCTCTCTTGTTTTACATAGTTTTTTTGTGTGTATCTTCGTTGACTTTAATTGTTTTTTTTGGTTCTCTCGGATGTTTTATTTAATACTAAAAACTAATTGTAAACTACTTGCTAACAGTATGTATGGTTATTGCAGTCTAGCTCTTCATGTTTCCGTAATCTTCAATTTGATATCTTTGGGTAGTGAGGTCTAGCTTATTAACTAGTTGTTTTTTATTTACAAAGTTTGGTTACTTATATATATAAATAATAATTATAATTATTATATATGTGGCCAATTCTTAGAGGATGTCAACTGAGCCAAAAAGTTCAAAACTTGATAAAAACATATTTCTATATGATTTTGCACTGATATTTGATTCTAGTTAGATGGATCCTCAACAAAGCTAGGTAATTTGAGTATCCTTGGATAATTTTTTAGGAAAAGTTAATATGGACAAAAACGTAATTTAAGCTTAAGGTTAAAAAACAAGAGAGAACGCTATAGATAGATCAGATACCCGTTACTCAGCTAAAGGGAGTGCGAAGGAGATGGAGATAAAAACTTTGATCCGCCGTAACTTTTTAACGAATGGTCCGATTTAAAAAATTTCTTCTACATTTCGATAGGTATTAATGAACACAATAAAACTGCCTTTTTACTTTTCCGAAATATTGAAATTTTTAAAATCGTATATTAGCGATTGTGGGCGTTAGAGGGGCGTGGCACCCTTTTGAAACAAACTTGCGCTGCGTAGGAACTCCTAGAATCTGCATGCAAAATGTCAATCTTCTAGCTTTTATAGTTTCCGAGATCTCAGACAGACAGACGGACAACTCGGCTAGTGACCCTGATCAAGAATATATATACTTTATAGGGTCGGAAATGCTTTCTTCTAGCTGTTACATACTTTTGCACGAATACAATATACCCTTTTACTCTACGAGTAAGGGCTAGTACTCAACCCAACAAAAAGTCGTCCAAAACCAAAAAAACTTCATATGAAACAAAAATTTTGTGACGTTTTTTTCAAATGAAGTTTTTTGTTTTGAACGACTTTTTGTTGGGTTGAGTACTAGCCCTAACGGGTATAATTTTTCCAACATATTTTTCCTTCACGTTTCGCTACAATCAAAAGTTGAGCTGGTAGTCAAAAAATCACTTATGTTGCTTTTGCGTTCGAAACTTTTGGTTTATATATTATATTATATTATATATTTTAAAAACGAGTACTGGTTTAAAATCAGTTCTAGCCAGGACCCGTAACTGTTAAGAGTTTTATGTTAAAAATCACATTTTAACAGTTATGTTCGGAATCGTAACTTTATTATTTGTTATTTTTTGAGTTTTATAATAAAAGTTGACAAATAACAGTTATTCGTCGAGATCAAAAATAAAACTCAAACTTGATTTATGGCGATTTTGTATGTTAAACAAATTTAAAAAAAAAATATTTTTACAATATGCACGGTTGACTTTTTTTTAAAGATTTTTAGTAAGTTATATAAAACACGGTTAGCATGTTTTTTTTATTTATTTAATTTTTTTTTAAATGTCAAGGGAATAACTGTTATACATAAAAATCAAATAAACTAAAATCATTACGGATTTGTAAACTACAATGGCTAACAAAAATAATGGTGTATTTCAAAAAATTTTAGGACTCTTCTAAGTGCATGTTTTTTTTGGTAAGAAAAAGTTACAATAAGAGTTATTTTCGGTCCCTGGCCAGGCACGTATTTTATAGCTAATTAAGACCTTTTATTTGAGCTTAGTGTCAAAAGAAAAGAAGTACTGGAAGTTGGTTTTTTTTCACCTGCGAACGTCGCGTGCGATTATTAGTACTAACAGCGTCCAAAAATATTCACGGATAAGCAATGCTATTCTAGAAAATAAAACTCAATAATTAATATGATAAACTTAGATACATACAGGCTTTTTACTTTTTTCGAAATAAGACGACGGTCGTACCTACTTATTATTTGAACAAAATTATCTAGGATTGTCATAAACTAAAACAGAAAAAAAATATTTTCTTTTTAATTTTTATTTATGCTCTTAGCCAAACTGGATCATTTAATTCAAATTATTTGAGCATCAATATTGTGAAGTTTATACACAGAAAATAAGAACGATTTCTGCGTTTTTAAGATGCCGCATCTGATTATGTTGGTGCTGATGGGGGTGAGTACTCTGGAAGTGAAAGAAAACAAAATGGTTGGCCGAGCATTCGTCCGAGCCATCCGCAATACAAATCCACCCTCATTTTGCGGAAGAGTTTTGCAATTACAAAAACAAAAATAATAAAAAGGAGAAAATCGACAAATGGGACACTCCTATTTCTGCGAACTAAACAAAATGGTGTAGAGAAAAAAATAAATACACGCATTTTTGGAAAGAGAACGGCTTGGAAATTCCTATCTAGAAAATGTGAATTAAATAAGTAGAGGTACATCTACAGTGGGTCATGAGATGAGATCGGTACGACTTTTGTTATTTGTTATATTTAAAAGCTATTCAATACGAAGAGTCAGAAAGGATTTATCAAATCAAAGAAACTTTACCTGTAAAGATTACACAGCGTACAGAATTATGATGTAGTTTTTCTGAATGTAGTTTTCCTAATGTTTAAATTATTAATAACTGAGTTAATTAATTTTAAGAAGTTTAAACAACACGTACACGTTAGGTGGAAATCACCTTCCTAAGTAAACATATTCAGTTAGTCGAATTTGTGTCAATAACACACATTTATGCAGATGATGTCCAATAAGACTTTGTTTCTCAATAACAACCCTATAACCAAAAGATAGCGAACTGGAAGTGATTTAAAGAGCATAACCTATAGACAATAAAACCTTAAATAAATAAGGGATTTCTTTAAATTGTTCAACCAACCAAATTTCCCCCCAAAACCAAATCTTGGTGTAACAAAAACCGTTTAAAAATCAAGTACACGACTCTAAACCAACCGAATAGTAGCCTTTAAAGGAAATGTTCCTAAAATCAAAAAGAATTTACTCCTGGAAAACTCTAAAGATTCTGGCTTTGATGAGTTGGTTTCCAAAGTTGCTAACACATAACTTTTTCAATTTAAAAATGATATTACTAGCTTACAACATTTTATTTTGAAAATACACCAAACAGGATAATGGTAGTTCCTAGCAGTTCCTGGCAGAGTTCAAGGGGTACAGATCAAAAAGAAATCAAAAACTTTTCTTAAAGAAAATATTTTTTTTTTTTATGTCCGTGTTTTTATTTATGTTTTAAGTTGCGCCTAACC